GAAAAACAAGAAAAAGTGCAACTATGCTTTGCGTTTTCCAGAAACGTCTAACCTACCATCGACCGTGAGTCACGCTGTATACGTAAGGCAAGAATTTGGAAAATATATAAAGTTACAACTTGTTTGTGAAACTCGATGATTGAGCCTTGCAAACATTATTTGATAAAATCAAGAGTGTCACCAAAGTTTTTTCGACCTGGGCCTGGAAGCGGATCCGAACTACTTTTTGAGTGAGGAAGAATATGTGGTTTTAGTGAACTTAGACAAAGCATTTCAACCTATAAAACTTGCTATGGAGTTGTTATGTCATCGAAATACTGACTTGGCTATCGCAGAAACAATACGTAAGTTTATGACCTGATCAAAAATGTGCGTAGTAGTAATCCACCGTTTTAACCACTGCGAGGTATTCTTTCCCCGTGATGCAGTGAATTCATTCGGATGTTCTCAGGGACTCACTGAAATACCCGATACGGTACGCTGGTCGAATGTCTCTTCAGGGTAGCAAATACTTGCTGGCAATCTGGGGACCAAACAAAGGGTGTTTCCATTTTCAGTTAAACTTTGCAGAGGTTTGACAATTTTCCCAAAATCCTTCCACGAAATGCCGGTAATAGCTACAGAGTCCCAGGAAATTTCTGACGCCACTTTTTCTGGAAGAGGCAGCACTTCTTGGGGTTGATCTGAAAATGAGCATTCCACAGCCTCGTGAAAATATTCCTCAAGTTTGACAGATGTTCGTCAAAACCTTTTCCGGTGACTATAATGTCATCAAGATAGACCCAACATGTTTTCCGGGTGAGTACCCCCAACATCAACTCCATCAAGTGTTCAAATGTTGCAGGTGCATTGCATAATCCGAACGGCATAAACTTATACTAGTATGATCCATTTCCGGTGGAAAAGGCAGTCTCCTCTTCATCCTCGGGACGAACGGTTACCTGCTAATATCTGCTTTTCAGATCTGATCTTGAGAATCATATGCATTCAGCCAAAATGTTCAGAGTGTCATCTATTCTAGGGAAAGGGACTGTCTGTTCTGGTGACATCATTGAACCTCCTGTAGTCTACGTAGAATCTCGTCGATACATCTTTCTTAGTCACCAACAAAACAGGTGACGACCAGGGGTTGTTTGATTCCTCTATTAATCCTTCCTTCAACATGTCCTTAACGATGAATGAAGTTCCGTCTTGCTTTACGAAGGGAAGTCGTCCCGTTGGTTGACGTGTGGGCTTGGCATCGCCAGTATCGACACGATGTTGAATTAAATCCGTTCAACCTATGATTTTGCCCTTCACAAACATATCGTCCTCTTCCTCTACGAATCGGCTGGTCTTGCATAGTTTTTCTTCAAGCAGATGGCTACACGTCTTCTAGAAAGTGTCTATGAGTTCCTTTGCGGGTTGCTGAGCACCCCTTAGAGGGATTTCTTCTTCGATACTGGTGATTTTCACGATCGGTTCACAAGTGCCTATTACTTGCCCCTTCTTGAGAATCACTCTGTTAATATCAGGGTTTATTATTCTTACTGGGATGGTCTGATTGTTACTATTCACGAGGGATCTGGCCGAGAAAATTCTTCCTTCAGAGCCTTTGGATGGCTTTATCAATGCTGTATCCAAGCCTCCAGGTCCATCAATTTTCCTTTCAATGATTTTCTTGGTGTTGGGAGATATTCTTGAATCTTTCAGTATAATCACCTTGGCGCTTTCATAAGGCTGAGAGGGCGCGTCAAGCGGAATTTTCTCATTTCCGAATTCCAACACTTCGTTCCTTATGTCCACCACTAATCCGTAGGGGGCATGATGTCCAGTCCCAAAATGAATTCTTCGACGATGTTGACCACTAATACCTCATTTTCTATTTTGCAGTTTCCAAACCTCAGCCTCACTTCAGCTTCTCCATAGACTGTTAATCTTCCAGTGGCTGTTTCCAAAACAGGTACTACTGATAACCTTTTCAAACCGCTTCTGTTGGAAAAATCGGCTCTTATCACTGACCTCGTTGCTCCAGTATCGATGTTGAAAAAGCACTGGTAATTATTCATAATTCCACCGACGACTAAGCTGTTAGTGTTGCGTCCTATCGTGAAAATCGGATATCTGGAGACTTGGGATGCAGCAGTCAACTTACTTCTCCTAACGCAAGCTGAATTTGGTTTTTCCAAGCCCCTACGCTTCAGTTCGGGTGATCTTGAATGCCAGTCTCTTTTTTCGTTGGATGTTGAACGAGATCGACATTCCCCCCTTGGATGTGCTTCTCTGCTGCAGTTATAACATTTATAATTATAATTATATTTATAACATCAAATAATTCTTGAAGAGTTCTTCAAGACCAACCATGAGTCGATTTGTTCCTTCGTCTTTCTTTTCATTGATGGCTCTCACTAGAACTTTTCGTTGTTGTCGCGAAACATTTTTAGCAGCTTCAAATTCTAGGGCATACATGATGGCTTCATTCAATTTTTAATGACGTGCCATCCTCAATGACTGCTGTAGCTCCGTGTCACGAACCTCATCGATGAAACTATTGACGCTAATCCAGTGGGTGTAGTTATCAGGTGCTTCTGGGTAATCGAGTCTCACTAACCTTTCGACTTCATCTCCAAACTCTTGCAAACATTCTGATGGACCTTAGATTATCACTTTCAGTTAAGAAAGTAAAAAAAAGGTTTTGGTGAAATCAGAATAATCTTCCGAAGACGAGTACTTTTGCTTAGTTTGCACTGAACCCTTTAGCAATAGCAAACCGAACGAACATTGGATTAGGTGCAGTGTGTGCAAAATGTGGTCACATGAAGATTGCACTGAGGGAAACTCTCCTTATATCTGCCATAATTGCGATTCTGATAGCGAATAAGTGATTATCATTACATCAAGTTATCTAATGTTGTTTTATTAACATGTGCTTGCATTTATATTTTTCCCTATTGAACTATAGTCGGACGGTAGCCGGTCGGTTCGACGTGGGAGCTTTGTTCACTCACTTGAATTGACTTCCGTGTTGGTCGGTGGTTCAAACCACAGGCTGAATGATCGATTTTCACTTGCTCTCGTCTAACCCGTGTTAGGAATCACATGTTAGAAGGTAAGACCTCGTTAATCTTTAGCTCGCACAAGTTTCTACTTCTAAGGGTTGTCGTTCGTAGGTGCGACAGCTGGTTAACGCAAAAACAGATTTCAAACAGATTTTTAAACAGATACGATATCAAAGAGAGAGAAACGTGGCCATCATTCGTGAGAATTTTGTCCAGGCGAGTCGAAGGCTGGCTTCCTAAATCATTCGATAGATAATGGTTATTTTTGGGGAGTAAAATATTGTATTTTTCCTATGACTTAGAACTGGAAAATTTCAAAATAAATCTATTCATGAAAGATATCTCGAAACAGAGTATCATCATTGAACAATGGGTGATAAAATAATTTTTTAAATGATATCAGTTTTTTCTGCTTGGGATTCGTCTGATTCGTCCATTTATTTCAAATCCCTATAAAATAATGCATTAGTAAAAATATCATTATGGTTTTGAGTAATAAAAGTTTCATTAAAACTGCTCACCATAACCTGTAGACACATTTTTCTCCTTTCTTTGTCTAACTTTGTTTGATAATCGTCTGAATATGAAGTGGCAATGTCAATATATTTTTTTGCAGCCACAGAAATGAAATCTACAACATCTAATAGCTTCGCATCAATTTCTTCGGAAAATAGTTTCATGTCATGCCTTAAGAACAGTGTTTCGATATATTCTAACTTACTCTTCTGGAACAAATAAGAAACAATAAGGTGACTATGTTAGAATATGAGTAGTTCTATAAATCAAGGAAATGAAAACTGTTTTGAGATACAATAATTACAACGACAAGCGAAAGTAGTAATCCAACTAAAATTTTTTGCAATTTCATAGAAAATCATCAAAATAGTCTCTAAGGATTCAATAGATTTTATAATACTTTGAACACAAGCACAGCCTTTACTAAAATTTGATTATTGAATAGTTATCATATTCAACAAATGGGTTAAAATTCCGAAATTCTTTGGAATTTATCATGTATTGACTTCCTAAAATGAAGGTGATTTCAGGAAGAAATTTGAAAAATTTGCTTGATCTGAAAACTAATTGGTGTGTATGTTGTGAAAACAATAGTGAGATCAAGGTACCCATTCTTCGAATGGTTTCGTGGTAGTCAATAAAAATATTTCGTCTCACCTTCATGATAATAAAGATTTTTGATGATTTCTGACGTACCAAATGAATTGTGTTAATGATATTAATCTCTCTCAGCTACAATACACAGTATAATGCAGACATCCCTACACTAGCACGTGGTCCGTATACAATGATTCATACGTGTCAACAATTTCACCAAAATTGTCTTTGAGTGGAGAAGTTATAAGTCCTTTTTTATGAAAAAGAGGAAACGAACTAGCACCTTTGAGATACCTCGAAGGAATGTTCTTTTAGTGTTTTGAAATGTTATTTTTAACCTGTTAATTTCATATCGAAACTTAATAATAATATATTGAAATGTGAAATGTACAGCAAATATTGAAAGATATCGTTCGAAGAACCTGATAACATTGTGATCATTTTGGGTTTCTCTCACAGGGTACTTCAGCCAGATTACATTCTTCAGACTTTAACCCATGATTCGTTAAAACACCGAAGATTTCAATCATATGGCTAAAGAAGGATGGAAGTAATCTGATAATCAACTTGTTTTGAACGATAAAGACAAGTTTTTCAGTGTAATACTGCCCAGAAATGAACTTGATCATTTCTGATTTAACAGAAATACAAAGTAACAGACCATTGATGAAGTTACTTAGTTTCTAATCATTTTGGCACTTACCAACTCTCTGGCTATGCTGGAAATGAAATTGGAGTTATATATCCTCTTTTTGAAAAATTGCACTTTTTCCGTGATCCAGAGACAAGGCTTATTTTCATTTATTTCCAAATAAAAATACTTTTTACCCATTTTCCTTGCTTTCTGAGGAATAGTTGAGTTTATTATCAACTGCTCTCCTGAAGCCGATGATTTTTGTTGAACATTCATTCTTCCAAACGTCACTTTGATGCAAATTGGATCTTTTGAATACTTTTTGTGAATAGCAGTTACTCCATAAATAATTGAAAACAAGGTTACTCCTTCATAAACGAAGTATTTGTCCTGAAAAATATCAAAATTTCAATAATTGGCATACATAACTCATGAGAATGATTATTCACTGGGGGTTCTGAGTTTCTTTTCGAGAGTTGTAGTCTTTTTTTCGATGCAGTAAGAATGAAGCTGTCCACGTTTAACATGAGAAGTAATTTTTGGGTGACACGATTATTGAAGGTGGCCTATGTCACTATTATTTATTGTGAACAATACAGGCTGATTCACGGTGGATGGCACATTAGACGTTTCTAGTGAACCAGACAAAGGATCACTTTGAAAATTTGATGGAGGGCATATTCGGACATTCTCTAGCCAACTAAAATATTTTCGACAATGCGGTGTTGCCGCTTCTATTAGAAAGCAGTAGCAACTTTGATTTTTCAAATGGAACACTCTGTATATAATATTATTTTTGGAATCTCCAACAATTGCCC